CTCTCACTTACCTACTTGCTTCGCGAGAGTCGTACGAAAATCTGCTATTTACGGCAGTTTCAGGCCGCCATTTTTGACCCGTCAAGGTGTAAAATATCGATGGGCCAAATTTTACAAAAAAAGCTTTTTAACGCAAACCGATTTCTTTTTTCATACAAGTACCTGAAAGGGAAATTATTGTGAAAAATTTGAAGACTTTCATATTTCCTTCCAGAACTGGGTGCCCGGTTCTTACAGAGACAGCCTCTTAAGCCTAAAGTTGAGGAGGGAGTTCAAGAAAAGATTAAACTGAATAGACAAAAGGCTAAACGGTATTATGATAGAGGTTCAACAAGCTTGCCGGGGTTGCAAGTTGGAGAAAAGTTAGAGTAAAGCCATCTGTGGTTAAGAAAGATGGAAGATGGGAACTTGGTGCGTGTGTGCAGAAGAAATAGAAAGTTCCTGAGAACTTCGAAAGAGAAAGATGTTGAGCAGAGTATCCCTGAAGAAGTACCGGAACCCCAACCAGTTTCAAATGGTCCAGTAGAGACCAATTCCGAGAGTACAACCCACACAAGAATGTTGCAGAAAACTCCAGATAAGTCAATTACGTCACCAAGGAACAGTTTGGTAAGTGAACCGACTGAAACAATGACTGACAATCAATCTTGTGAAGGAACACAATCAACACCTAATGTTGAACGACACACAAGAAGTCGAAAGATTAGACAACCTAAACGTTATACTGATTTTGTCATGAAGTAGATAGTTCTATTCTTATCTTATACTTTATATATTTAGTTTTTTAAAGAAACTGAAAAAAAACCCAGAAATATATAGTATAGTAATTGAACAATTAGAAACATTTGAATAGTCGATGTGACGGAGAACTTTGAGTAATGTCCAATACAGGGATCTGATGTCTGATGGTGAAGATGGTGTACGGTGGTGTATGATGGTTGAAGTGTGTCAGGTGGTTGTATGATGGTGTATGATGGTCGAAGTGTGTCAGATGGTTGTCAGATGGTGTATGATGGTCGAAGTGCGTCAGATGGTTGTCGGATGGCGTATGATGGTGTAGGGTGGTTATACAGGGAAGGGTTGTCAGATGGCGAAGATGGTACAGATGGTGTATGATGGTCGAAGTGTGTCAGATGGTTGTCGGATGGTGTATGATGGTGTAGGGTGGTTATACAGGGAAGGGTTGTCAGATGGTGAAGATGGTACAGATGGTGTATGATGGTCGAAATGTGTCAGATGGTTGTCAGATGGTGTATGATGGTGTAGGGTAGTTATACAGGGAAACGTTGTCAGATGGTGAAGATGGTACAGATGGTGTATGATGGTCAAAATGTGTCGGATGGTTGTCAGATGGTGTATGATGGTGTATGATGGTCGAAGTGTGTCAGATGGTTGTCAGATGGTGAAGATGGTACAGATGGTGTATGATGGTCGAAGTATGTCAGATGGTTGTCAGATGGTGTATGATGGTGTATGATGGTCGAAGTGTGTCAGATGGTTTTCAGATGGTGTATGATGGTGTAGGGTGGTTATACAGCGAAGGGTTGTCAGATGGTGAAGATGGTACAGATGGTGTATGATGGTCGAAATGTGTCAGATGGTTGTCAGATGGTGTATGATGGTGTATGATGGTCGAAGTGTGTCAGATGGTTGTCAGATGGTGTATGATGGTGTATGATGGTCGAAGTGTGTCAGATGGTTGTCAGATGGTGTATGATGGTGTATGGTGGTTATACAGGGAAGAGCTGTCAGATGGTGAAGATGGTACAGATGGTGTATGATGGTCGCGGGGTGTCATTCGCTGTAGGATGCTTATATTAGATATTACATTGCTATATTTTATACTTACATACACTTTAGCCAACTATGGTATGTGTATAAAAATATGTTATATCTAACATTGCGGTTCTCGTGTGGGAC